AGAGAGAGAGAGAGAGAGAGAGAGAGAGAGAAACTTCAACTGGCCCTTTGATATGAGCTAGGCCATGGGCTCTGCCTTTGAGGCTGGAGAAGCCCATTCAAGTCCATCACTCAAACCTCATACAAGGTCTACTACCTCATCACCAACCTTACTGTAGGCACACTGCAGCATGCAGTGAACACTGGTGTAGTTGTTTGCATATCTTTAGATCTAGAAAATTCATGATTCAATCTATGTTTCAATGACTAGGGCTTATCAATGTGTTGAAATATAATGCAAACCATGTTCATGCAGAGTCAAAGAACAGCACACAAACATGCTTAAAGCTCCTCCTAACACCTAATGATCACTAAGCTTGGTGCCCAAATCCTGAATCACTAAGCTATTCTGGACCCAACTAATCTCACCTACCCAGCTGACAATACTTAACAAACAAATCAAATCTAGCCCAATTAGATTATGCTAATCTATCTTTATTTTGTCCTACTTAGCAGTCAACACTTTGTTTAATAATCACAACATCTGACAGAGTTGCATCACAACACTGTTGACATGTCAACTCATCACTACTACTCAGATGGACTTTTGGCCAAGTAGAACCTGTTCTATTTTGCTTCTTGTTTCTGCTCCAGTTGATAATGCCAAATTGTTCGAGTCAAACATGGACATATCCTTCCACGAGTCCTTCGTCCTCTCATACTTTAATCAACTCTAATAATTTTCCTAAACAGTGATTTGGATTCCAAACCACATAATTAATTATATGTGTGTGTGCACGCAGATTTGAAGTGGAGCAGAGCAACAAAAGTCCAAGATTCCTCCCTCAGGATGAGACCGAGAGCTCAATTACTTTGACTTCCTTGGCATACGTTTCTGCTTGCAAGCAGACAACCGGAAAGCTGTCCCTTTGCCACCTCCCACACTTGCCCTCTCTCTCTCCCCTCCGGCGGGCCCCTGTCCTGCTCTCACCAATCAACCCCTTTGACTCTACTGCCGCCTCCCTCGGCCCCACCGCACCCACCCAACGTCTGCTCCTTTTCTCAACCTCCCCCGGCGCTGATCCTAATTGCTGCTACGACCACTATCAAGGCAGGTACCAAAGCGGGGAGGCGAACCAGCGAGAAGAAAAGAATTGCGAGTCTGCGCCACCATGAGACTTCACCCTGCAACAAAGATAAGGGGGAGAGGCGGAGGAGAAAGCAAAAGGGTGGCAGGTGGGCTCCCGCCCTCTCTCTACTGACCACGTTTCCTCATGCTTTGCGTGCTGCTGTCGTTCTTTCCGGACTTCCCAATCCCAAATGGAAAACAAATATTATGTTAATCCGAATACATATATATTTAATAGCAAGTACAGACAGGGCAGTCAGTCTCTGAACGCCATTTGACTTGCAGGCTTTTCCTCGTCTCTTCCCTTTGTACTGCGAAAAGGAAACGTCGAGACTCCTGCAAACGATTCCCCGACGGGCGGTCGGGGAAACGGGTTCACCCTCCTTCCGACTTATTGTGCCAGTTCTCCGTTTACTTTTGTCTTCGGAGAGGGATCGCATCCACGGTTGTGTTTCAAATGGAAGCATACAATCCGAATCACCGCCGTCTAGATCGGTAACTGGATCTCTGGCAGCGCTCCGATCGCGGGTCGGATCCGCTACAGCGTCTGTTGGAGAGGATCCCGTCCCGGGGAGCGTCAGCGGTTGCATGCGGGTGCGAGACAGCGGCTCGTGCTCCTTTGACTCCGTGACATCGACGTCGCTTGTCGCGCCGTCCGATGGATTCCCTCGCCGAGACGTGGCTTCCTACCGGCGGTCCGATGGTCCGGTCCCCGTTCGGCGTAATTTCTCGCGAAACCCACGGGCGGAGTCGGCGGAGCGAAGTTGACTTGCGTCGCACGGAGGCCACGTCATCGAGAGTCGCGCCACGTCAGCGCTGTCCCCAAGGCGGGCCGGCAGCAGAGAAGCCGCACCAAAGCGCCCCCTCCTCTCTTTTTATTCCCACCAACACTCTTCCGTACCTTTCGTGTTCGGCCGCACAGCTACCCGCCCTTTGATTGGCGGATGTTGTGGGGCTCATGCGGGCGCCACTGGCAAAACCAGCGAACAACCAATCGGAACGGAGACGGGTGGGTCGAGTGGAGGAGTCGTTTTACGTTTTATTCCCGGTATTTTGAATTAAAATGGAGGGGAGGGAGGAAGAAGAATTATTATATATATTATAAGAGATTAAAATAAATCGAAAAAATGGACCAAATAAAGACGGGTTGATTTGGGTGGGGATGGAGTGAGCCGTCTAGCCTTCCCCGTCTCCTTCCGCCAGAGAAGATAGCAGAGCGGAGTGCGCGTGTCAGCGAGGGATTTGTTGGGGATCGATCGCCATGGGGAGCGGCGCCTCCCGTCACGGCCTCCTTCACTGCCTCCGCCCATCCGCTGGCGCCGCCGATGTCGGCGACTCCGACGGCGGTCGCCCGACCTTCGAGCTCGGCCCGCTGGAGGAGACCCTCGGCCATTCCTTCTGCTACGTCCGCTCCTCCTCCCCGGTCCACTCTCGCGCCTCCTCCGTCTCCTCGGCTGGCGGCGACGGAGGCGGGGAGACCGCCTTCAAGACCATCTCCGGCGCCTCGGTCTCCGCCAACTCTTCCGCCCCTCTCCCGCTCTACGACGCCGCTGGCCGGCCGCACCCCGCCGGGTTCCGGAGCTCCTCGTCCTTCTCAGCTCTTCCGCTCCAGCTCTCCGCCGCTGGATGCGGCGGCGGCTGCGCGGCATCCGGGCCGCTCGATCGCGGGTTCTTCATGTCCGGCCCGATCGAGCGCGGGGCGCTTTCCGGGCCCCTGGAGCCCGTTCCCTTCTCCGGTCCTCTCGTGAAGAAGAAGCGCCGAGGCATCGCCAGGAGGTTCCGTAAGCCGCTGCTTCTCCGGCGGAGCATCTCGGAGAAGAACCGTCCGTGGGTTTTCCCCCTCCGCAGCTTCCCGTCGCGGCAAGGCGATCAGCAAGAAGACCCCGCCGCGGCCGCCACCGAGGGAAACGTGCAGTGGGCCCACGGGAAGGCTGGGGAGGACCGGGTCCACGTGGTCGTCTCCGAGGAGCAGCGGTGGCTCTTCGTCGGGATCTACGACGGGTTCAATGGGCCGGAAGCCCCTGAATTTCTCGTCGGCAATCTCTACCGTGCGGTGTTCAACGAGCTCCGAGGTCTGTTTTGGGAAGAGGTGGAGGAGGGTGGCGCTGAGGATGAGGGCTTAGAGGAAGGGAGCGAGAAAAAGGTCACCTTTCAAGAAGATTCCAAGGTCGCAAGGCGGCTGTGGGAATTCCTCGCCGAGGGTCACGGCGATGGTGAATTGGACTTCTCCGCAGGGTCGGGCGGGTTCGCGTTCACTCTGTCGAAGCTGAGGTATGGGATCGGGAGCTGGCGGAAGGAGGGTCGGAGAATGTGGTTCCCCAAGTACAGATATGATTCGGAAGCGAAGGCCAAGGAGATCAAGGAAGTGACGGGCAGAAGCAGACGCAGGAGGAGAAAGAAGGGCCCTGTCGCAGAACACGGGCTGGTGTTGGCAGCGCTTGCACGAGCGTTGGAGGTCACCGAGGTGGAATACTTGGAGATGACGGATAGGGTGATGGATTGCAATCCTGAGTTGGCGCTGATGGGATCCTGCCTGCTGGTGGTCTTGATGAGGGATGAGGACGTGTATGTGATGAATGTGGGAGACAGCCGGGCAATCGTGGCACAGTATAGACCACAGGGGCACATCGAAGGGAGAAACAATGGTAGCTTTGGGGCAGATTTGGAGAAGGCCAATGTGAACGAGGCAAACAAAGGAGTTGAGGGGAATGGAGAGAGTATGGAGATTGAAGGTTTGAGTAGAGGAGTGATAGAACTGGGGGCATTGCAGCTATCAACTGATCATAGTACGAGCATTGAAGAGGTAACACTGCATTGAAGAAGATGTATCTAGTTTACAAATTTGTTTAGATCCCAAGAAGTTTTCCTTTTACGGTTTAAGAGATGGTATAATGTTCAACCTTTGGCTATATAATTGTTCCATACTTAGAAGAACAGAGGTTACACGCAAATTGGCTATCTGCCTTGGTTTCTCAGCTGTAGTTTGGAAGTAGTTTTGATTTCCTATCTTTATATGTCTATAGGGAGCTCTTAGAATGATACAGCATAGTTCAAGGCTGAGTTTGGTGGTGGTGTTCACTTGCACACAGTAGGTTTCACCTCATGGAGCATTTTGAGTAATCTACCAGATTTAGCATTTGCCTGTAACGTGCATTTAAGCATATTGTATTTTTCTGTTAAATGAAATTATGTTTCTGCAGGAAGTCCTTAGGATAAGACGAGAACATCCAGATGACAATAAATGCATTTTCAATGATAGAGTAAAGGGGCGACTGAAAGTCACACGAGCTTTTGGTGCTGGTTACCTCAAGCAGGTAATGATGCATTCCAGTTTGGTATATGTCACCAACTAATCATAAAAACAGACCATCAATTTGTAATTTCTGCACAAAAGATGAAAGAAGAAAAAAGAACAATTTGCTGCATTTTTTTATTTACTATAACTTTCTTGACTTTCCATTTCTGCAGCCCAAATGGAACAATGCATTATTGGAAATGTTTCGGAATGAGTACATCGGAACCGCACCATATATATCTAGTACACCTTCGCTTTGTCACCATAAACTGGGAGCAAACGATCACTTCTTGATTCTCTCTTCTGATGGTCTTTATCAGTATCTGAGCAATGAAGAGGTTGTATTACATGTTGAAAGTTTCATGGAGAGATTTCCAGATGGAGATCCTGCCCAAAGTTTAATAGAAGAACTACTCTTCCGTGCAGCCAATCAAGCTGGTAAGATTTTCATCTGCACTTATTTTCTCAGTTGTGTATTAAGTGTCGAAGTATTCTACTAGAACACATGTTTGTTGCACTTGTTTCGGTTGAAATTTGTACTTGGCTCCAGAATGGTTCTCATTGATTTTCATGTTAAATCTCTAGCAATATTCTTATTTTGGTCACTTCTACAAACAAATAACAGCATTGTTTTTTTGCATAAGTTGGCAACTTCTAAAATAACGCCTTTCCATGGTTCTTGTACAAAATGAAAGTTGTCCATGGGATTTCTTCTCGTTGCCTTCCACCCGAGCAGTCTTAGATATCCTTTTCATTATATGACGTTAATATGGGGTTCCTATTAAAGGAAATGCTAATAAATTCAAGATTCATCTCCAAATAATTCTACATATAGCACATTAGATTAGTAGCTAAACATATTATGAAAATGGCAACTGAGTAGACATGCAAAGAAATCCAAGCCACAAAGTTAATGATGTCTAAAATAAGTTTCTCATTTGCTGCTTAAAAAGTAGTTGCATTCGTATTGAGAAAGCAAAATGTCATCATAGTACAGTAAACCTTTTCAAGATTTAGCAGAAAGTTTTGGTGTAAAGACAGGTGTCTACTTTTCTTTGATGAGGTGTATAGATATTCAAAGTTTATAATGATGTTATGGAGCTGATATTAGAACTATGCTCAAAATATTTCAAGTACCATGTAGATTACACTTTGAAGCCGAAATCTATTTGAAAAGTATGATTGTTTTTTATTTAGAGTTTATGTAAGAGAATAGGATTATATCTTGTTAGATGGTTAATCCATATCTTGAATGATATATTAAAAGGTGAAATATGCCATATGGTTGAACTGTCTATTAATGCCTTATATGTTGAGAAATTCAGATGTGTACTTTATGTTATGTAGTTAAATGGACACTAACATAACAGTACAACAGACACTATAAAGTTTTGAAAGTGAACACAGTGGAAATTGAAAAGAGGAGATGAGAAACGTTTTGTAGTTTGTAGTTTCATAATATGTTCAGAAAGATGGATGCTCCATCTGGTGAATATGCTCTGGAGTATCAGCCAAGATTCTAGATATTTCAGGAATGGGAGTTAGTTCTTCAGTGTCAGGAGGCCAAATGAACTTCTTGCACATGATGTTTTATCTACAAATTTAAAGTTATTCTTATGTCTAATGATAAAGTAAAAGAATCTTGGATTTTATCATCATCAGATTGAATTCTGATTCAAGAACTTGAAGAATGAAGTATTTACACGTGAAAATAAACAGTTGAGTGTGTTTCTTCTCAGGATTTTAGAGTTTCTTTTAAAGTATGATCAACCTAGGATATTTTATCTCCTATATATTCAGATTGTCAAGCATTAGATTCTCTTCCAAAATGTGATGACATCAACTGAAAACATTGAATTTTTTCTTTTCAAGATATTCTTTTATAGGTAATTCAAAAGCAATGAACCAACAGGATTAATGCATCCGATGATACCCTAGATTTCAATGCCACATTAATTTAGTTGACAGGTAAATCATTCTAACCAGAAATTGTTTCCTTGGATCTTGATAACTTAATGACTATACAGTAGAAATATAGAATTATAGATACGCAATAATGTTTAGAATTTTGTTTACTCTTGAGGTTTCATGAATAACAACACAAGGGAAACATTGGAACCATCTGAAATATCAATAATGCCAAAACTCAAAACAAAATCAATTTGAATATTGGGGCTTGGCTCTTGAAGCCTGACAGACCATAGGTAGACTTAGGTGGGAAATTTGTTTCTTTCATAGATGGCACTCGGATGTATGAAGCCTTAATTGAGGACACGCTTAACAAATTCATCCTTCCTAAGATCATTTGGTCTCCGGAACACCATGTTCTGAAAGACACTTTCACATTGGCATTTCACCCAGTGCACATCATGAAGCACTAATGTTGAGCTGAAGCAATGTGAACTGCATTATGGTCACCATAAAACAAGTTATATATTTCCTATCTGAATGTGGATTGATCACTTAAGAACTGAAGTTATCAAGATTCAAGAATCTTTCAATTTCAAAGCAAATTGGATAGATGCTGCTCTCTTTTCTTAATATTGTGCAGAGTCATAGTTTTTCCAAAATTTTGATGAAACTGTGTCAGCAGATTCTAGTTATTCATACTTATGCTTGATGAGCTAACTTGCAGGTTTAGACTTCTGTGAACTATTGGATATACCTCAGGGGGATCGCCGAAAGTACCATGATGATGTTACCGTGATGGTTATATCTCTCGAAGGGAGAATATGGAAGTCATCAGGAAAATGTGTCGCATGCTAGGAACTGGATGGTTTTTGTGCTTTTGGTTTGACACAACTCCCTTGCATTACACTGCTGATTCATCTTTCACAATGATAAATGTTGACAAGCCATCACCCCAAAGTACAAGATCAAATATGTCTAAACCAGAAACATCACCGGTTGGCGCCTGTCGATGTTGCTCATCAACCGGTTGACAGAATTGGTGTGAGACAAGGAGAAGATGGAGTATACCCAGGAAGAGGCACAAAGAGGCTCTCATGTCTCATTGCTTTGTAAAGCTTTTCGAGAGGACGGTTTACATGCGAATGATATACAGACGTTGGGCCTTTCCCACTTCATCAAAATGACATGTACTGCAATCTCTTGGGATTGCTCTCAGCAAAGCAAGATTTCCCAAAGTTATAAATTCTTTTGGCAGAACTGTGTGAGTTTATGTAGCAAGAACGTTGTTCAGCAAGTGCAGTGTGTTGTACTCCATCAAGGGATCAAAATGCATCAATGAACAGAACATCGAGCACCATGACTTCATGATTGCTTGACAACGTATCAAATTCTTGACTCGAACTCCTTTGAAAATTGTTTGTGGAAGACTAACCAATTGTTCTCTTAACTTCTAGTGTTATGGGAATGATCACCGTTGAGTACTTTCATCTTCTCTGTTTCCATGCATTTTGAAACAAATTAAAATTAAATAATAATAAATGTATCTTTCGATATTATTTAAAAAAAATTATTTGATTTGTAGATTCGATATTATATAAAAAAAATTATTTGATTTGTAGATATATAAAGTGATGTCGATTTATAAAGAGAATTAGATTGTCTTCTTCTCTTTTGTTTTGTTTTTCACATGACTATTATAAAAGATAGATTAAGAATTAAAGGAGTTTATAGAAGGTCCTAAAATGGTAATTAAAAGAGTCCCTCTTATCAAAATCATCTGTTAAAAAAATTATTATAATATCACTTTCTTTCTATTGGTCTATGATATATCTTACTTAATGAGATCATGAAATCTAGCATCTCCTACTTAACACATTAATTAATAAGATATAAAAAATAAAAATAAATAAAATAAGAGGTTATTTAAAAATAATTTTATTTAATTGAATTATGAAACATTAAAAAAATATTTTACACATGTACACAAATTTTATAAAATAGTATAATAAGTCTAGTAAATTTAGATTTTTTATCATTTATCTTAATTATTTGTTTCACATAAATTTTAATAGTTATGTTTGTCATTGTTCTTATCAATATCTAATACACATAGTATAAATTGTATATATTTTCATACTATTTATAAGTATAAAAATTATGATTATATTACTATTATGCAAAGAACCTTCGGACTAAAATCAAATAATACTAGATCAAATATTATATGATGTATACCATTCGATTCTACATAGAAAGTAATATGCAAAGAATCTTCGGACTAAAATCTAATAAAGTCTTTACTTGATCTAAAAGTACACTGTCGTTATATCTAAAATTTATAGTGATATTAATCTTCATGCAGAACTAGACTCGTCTTGTTTTTTCTTTCTATTCCTTACATTGATCATTCTGAATAATGGATTAGGGAGAGAATAAATATATAATCTTAATAATCGCTTTTTATCATTTATAATCAGAATCCAATCATCATTATTTTCATTACGACTGCCACTCATTTTCGTTATGATCTAATCCTTTTGATCAATTCAACATCAGTCACTTTCGTCCTTTCACATTATGAATCAGGTTATATCTCTTATTTATCAAACTTTCTCTGGTGAACAAACATGTTGTGGCTGATGAGTTAACTCGGCTTGGTCCACGGGTTTATGTCGGAAGTCTTCTGTTGACTGAGCTGAATGCCAAGGTAGATCGTACCCTCGTGACACGGCTTATAACCAAGATATACCTTATCATTTTGCAAGACTAAAACTAGGAAGATGCATTGACAAATTGAGGCAGTGACATCTTTTCGCCACAAATATGTGCGTCCTATCTCTCCATGTCAACTTGTTACCCTTTGACAAAAGCAATATCTCAGTTACATATGTTGCCCAATCTTTTTTATTTTTTTCCTCCAAGTAATTAAACAACCTATCATCCTCTGCAAAAGACCCAAATAAATTAAAAGATATCATTCATTTCCAAAGATGTTAGTTAGTATGCTGATATGCCAATTAAATGCATAAGTGCATAGAGCTTCGAATGTTTGCAATTCCACAAAATGAAATGTGAAGGCCAAAGTATTATTAATCTACATGTGGGATTGGTGATGATATCAGAAACTATGAGCCATTATTGCTGCCACCAAATCACACCTTCAGATGAAGATGAAACCTCGAAAAGTTGACCGCTTCAATGAAAGCGACCTATACGGATTAGATTCTGGGAGAGACGTCTAAGCCAATCAGTGGGAGTAAATACTCTACATGAAGATCTCTCTCCATGCCGTAAATCTATAGCTGGCAAGCATTTCTTGCCGTTGACTTATGCATGTATATATATATATATATATATATATATATATATATATATATATGTGTGTGTGTGTGTGTGTGTGTGTGTGTGTGTGTGTGTGTGTGTGTGGTTATGGCATCCTCTCGATCCCTTACTGTCTTATATTATCTCCTTCGTGCCGACTCTTTGAAGGCGAAGGATTGAGTTCGACAGAGAGACCATGGATGATGCTTCAATCATGTTCCAGTGCCCCATCTCAATGGAGCCAATGGAGGATCCGGTGACGATCGCCACCGGCATCTCGTACGACAGGGAGTGCATCGAGAAATGGCTCTTCGTCTACAAACAGTCGACGTGCCCGGTCACCATGCGGCGACTGCCGAACTCTGATCTCATTCCTAATCACACCCTCCGACGTCTCATGTCGTCCTTCCGGGAGGCCGCAGGGGGAGGGCCCGCCAAGCCGCCTCCACGCTTGCCCGACGTGATCGACCACGACGAACTGGTTTCGCTGCTGAAGAACGTCCAAACGGGGCCCTTCAGGGTCACCTACCTGAGAAAACTACGGGCGCTCGTCGACAAGGACGTCGAGTTGCAGAAGGATTTGATTCGATTGGGAGGCGCCCAAGTGTTGGGCCGCATCATGGCGTCCCATGGCGTCGTGGAGTACTGGGACTTGGACGATTTCCGAGATCGCGACGAGGCTGTCGGCGTCCTGGCTCTCCTCCCCTTGTCGGATGAGGCCACGGTGGAGCTCCTATGGAAGCCCGACTGCGTGAGATCGATGATGGAGATCCTCCAAAGTGGAACCGCCGAGGCCCAACTCCGCACCATGTCCATCTTGACGAAGGCATCGAAGACCAACAACGAGTGGACCAACACGGTAGCGGCGGAAGACGGCGATGTCGTCAAGTCCTTGTTGGACCTTGTGTCCGATGAAGTCTCAACCAGGCTAACCTCCTCCTCGTTGGACGTACTGCTCGAGATCGTCGCGACCTCGAAGAAGAACCGCCTGAAGGCGATCGAAGCCGGCACGATTCGCGTCTCGGTCGAGATTCTGACGGGCGCAAGTGCGAGAAGGTGTTGCTGCTGCTCACGAGGCTCTGCAAGTGCCCCGAGGGGCGATCGGCCATGGCCGACCACGGGCTGGGCGTGGCGGCGGTGTCCGAGAAGATACTGCGGGTGTCGAGGCTGGCGACCAAACTGGGCGTCAAGATCTTGTGGTTGATGAGCAGCAATCGGCCCACAGAGCAACTGCTGGAGGAGATGACGGTGGTCGGGTCGGTGGCGAAGCTCCTGGCCTTGTCGCACATCGATGGGCAGTCGTCCACCAAGAAGAGAGCCATGAGGATGATGAAGTTGCATGGGGCTGCATGGAGGCGGTACCCCTGTGTTCCTAGCGACCTGAACGACTTCCTGAGATCGTCTCGATTCTCAGTAAATTTTGTAGAGAAAGCAGAAGCTGGAGAGGTTTGAAATCATTCTCCGGGAACGACGATGATCTCAAACTCTTTGGTGTGTATTGATCTCAATGATACGTCTTACGTCTGACTCCACGTGTCAACATCATGTACGTCATTATATTTAATAGCAATTTCTTTCATTTAATAAAGCCCAAGATTTACAATAGTCTCATACCAACTTTATTTATGTAATATAGTTATATTGTTTACGATACACCCAACAGTATATATATATATATATATATATATATATATATATATATATATATATATATATATATAAACGATATATCGATGTAATGACACACGATAGATTAGCACGGACCAATACAATACCAGTCTGAACTTTGTAGAGAGAAGGTGGCATGCCCAACATAAGAACCTCCTTTTATTTTCATCAATACTCCTAGGAAGACAAAACCAGTTAAACATTCTATATATCTAATAACTTTGATTTGTATGGAGAGAGTCAACGGGGAAGAAGAAGAAGCTTCCTCATACCTTTCACATCTTTGACACATAGTTGGTAGCTAGATTGCGTCTTGATGGGAGTTTTAGGTCCTCCCAGTTTGCGTCGTCGACCTCGGCAAAATACTGATCAAGCACCTTGGAATCTACCAGATCCAATCTAGGAGGCTCCCACTGCAAACAAGGATTAGGTGTTTCATGGAATCTTAAGTTTTGTTAAGGATCAGTCGTCAAGAACCAGACCTTCGGATTCCTGTCTTTATCCACCAATATAGCCCTGAAACCCTGCAGAAGAATTAAGGGTTTTAGATGACAGAGAAGGAAGCATGTCAGGTGCTTACTGTGAGGTACCTCTAAGAAATCCTTGCTGGCTTCGAGACGTAATATATGACAACACAATCTGAATTCCTTCGTAAGACATCGATCAACTCCTTGCAGTCTCCCTTCTCTGATCTGGATCCTCGCATTAAGTAGTAGTTCAACACAGAATCAGCAACATGCACCATCATGCTCAGACACTGATATATATATATATAGAAAGCTTGATCCAGATTAATATCGTGGTGAACAAAAACTGAACCAAATAAGTCTGATTAGACTTAAATTTGTGGCTCTTTCAAAGATAATGTAAGTCTGTCTATCGCCAATCAAGCAAGTGCAAGACCACTTAATATTATTTCCCAAGGTGAAAGGAAACCCCCTCTCCCCCTCATCAACGACTATCATCCTACAGATATGTAGTAAAGGCAAAACAATGTGACATCAATCAAAGTAGAGAAATGTGACATAAATGCATCCGAGAAATTCATGCAGACATGCATCCAAATGAGACAAAAAGACGTAATTGAGATATGGAAAGTGCACCAATGTAGGATGATGACAACAACAATAACGATGATGATAAAAATAATAAGAACAGTATACTAATAATGACCATAAAAGAACTCCAATATAGGATTTGTTTTGAAATACAATGACAGCATTAACATTGAAAGATGATAAGAATGTCAGGTGGCAAATGAGTAATCGTACTATAACGTGGCAGCAAGGTTTGTCATCTTCAGTCAATGTTATAATGATATAGTGAGAATTTGCCAAGTGGGAACACAAATACATATCCAACACGCTTGTGAATGGAAACACAAGATTTCCAAGTAGCAGTTTAGTGATTCTATGCTATGGTAATATAAATTTTTAAAGATCTTTTACATATATATTAGAGAGGTGACATTTAAAATTAGTTATCTTTAGTATTTTGGTCCATATACTTTCAAAAGTTATATGGAAATCTTTATATTTATGAAAATAAAACATTTAACCTCGTTTCTTCTCACGCTATCAATTCTACTGACGAAAATATCGTACGTGCTCACTGATAAATCCTATAGTATTTCCATCATTAGAGTCGATGAAATGAGGAAAACGAGTTAAATATTTTACTTTCTTAAGTATATGGATCCAAATATAAATTTTGAAAGTATATGAATCGAAATATTAAAGATAACTAATTACAAAAGGTAATATGTAATTAGTATCAAAACTTAGAGGCCCTCAACCTCCTTTATAGAACTTAAAAAGAAAGGATAGAAGAAAACAATAAGTGTTTTTATAGAAAAAAAATACAAACAACATTAATTTTAATGTAAAAAACTTAATATATTTTAAAGGTAGATCACAGCATTCAGCCTTTACCACATATTAGAAGATTAATTTGTTGTATATGTATGACCACAACATCCATTAATAGGCATGAAGCTTAATAACATAATTACTGATTTCAAGATGAAAAATGTTTATGCGTATCGACAGAAAAGGGCTCATAGAAAGAAAGCCCCATACCGATCTAAGAGTGACTTTTAGACTGATAGGAGATGCCTTTTTCAATGCCTGAATTGCAACCACAATCCACTCATCAGCCATGCTAGCAGATTCCTTCTCCTGAAACGATTAGAGCGAGTGTGAACTCAGTGATAATGCAACATGGATGAACTTTAGAAAGAAGAAAATGAGTAATATGTTCGCGGAAAGATGCCAATCAACTTACAAGAGCAGAGATAATTTCTTGGACCGTTTCTTTGGAGAAGCATTTGTCAATTATATCCAATCTACAAGATCAAGAATAGATCAAAACATTGAAAATCATTGAAGCATTAAGATGAATAGATTAAGCGAAGTTCCAAAAAAAAAAAAAACCTTCCATGTGATTAATGGCAGGACTAATAATCCATTGAGGATAATAAACTATCTAAAGTAATAAAAAATTAAATAGATATGTAAATTAAAGATGAGTGTTATACTAAAAACTAAGATACATAAGGGAGATTGAAGGATGACAAGTTTAGATTAAAAAAATATCATTTTTATCAAACTAAATTAAACTTAATTAAGATTGTTGCAATATTAAAATTATATTAGTAAAAAAAGAAAAAAAAAACTTGAAATGAGGTCGAATAGGATTGAACCCTAGATCTTCAAACAATCTCTTAAAAACATAAACTTTATTTTGGCCTCATCCTTTTTACCAACTTGATAACCCATAACCCATTTTCTTCTTCTTTAGCTATTCTCTTAGCTTCTCTCGGGGAAGCTATGTAACCCTAGCTCTAAGGAAGATTAAGATAAGAAAAACTTAACTCTTCTCTTACTATACCTACGGTTTTAGTTTTACATATTATAAGCTGATTTTTTCAACTACTTTTTAAGTAATCTAGACTTTGAATTTATCTATAATTTTTAATATATTTTGGATTATTCTCTTACAGATGGATTAAAGTCTCTAGTATGACCTTAATGTAAGATCGATGCATAGAGTTATTACTATGATAATCTAATGTACTCAGAATCCCCTATTTTCTAAGAAGGGATTATGTTCAAGTTGAATTAGCCTCCTTAGAGATATGATTAAGCCTTAGCCTTTTGATATGCTTTAAAAGATTCCCTTGGAGTTTTGTGAGATTTAGAATTGAGTGAATATTACCTATGTACACCAAGATATTAGGTTTATAAGTTTAGATAGTTTCAATCTAATTTCAGTATAATAGAATAGATATTGGTAGTTGAATTAGGAGAGTAGTTTAGCCTCCAAATAATTTTATTTTAAAATAAAATTTAGTGTGCATTTAGTTTTATATCTCTCCTAGTATTTTATAAAATTTTATGATAATTCAAGATCATTTAGTCAACTAAAATAGTGAAGTAATGTTTCTTCGTAGAATTATATGATGGTTTGATTGATACTAACTAGTTTATTTGATTATAATGTGAATTGTTAGAAAATTTATAGTGAAATTTAAATAAAATTTTAGGTTCAGTATAATCTACTTTAGAAGAGATTTTATTAAAATTTTTCAATGAATTATTATAAATTAATGATTCAAGGGTTAAGGTTCTTAATTAACATATCTCATGACCTATGCTTCCAAGTTTATAGGTCTATTACTCCCTAGCAATGTGATCTTTCCTTAACATCTTAATTTTTAAGTTTAATTAGATAAGTATAAGTTTAATTCATAGTAAAATAGTAATCATATAAATTATCATATGTATAATGTATTTTGGAAAACATGTTTCGACATATATAAACGTCATGAGCTAGTTATGAGCTAAATGTGAATGTATATATATTGTAAGTATAAAAATATATGAATTTATATAAAAATATCTTATATGTATACATATGCGATGTGAGAGTACATGTGTTTTCTATGAGGAATGCACGAGTATGTTACAACATGCGATGCATGTATTTGCAATGACTTGCAGTGTGAGAGTGCACATATGTATTATAACATGCGATATGAGAGTGCACATATACACTATGATAACGTATGACATGGAAGTGTATGTATATATTATGACGTGCGGTGTAGGAATATACATATATACTATGATGTGCGATGTGAGAGTACACGTATATATTACGATGACGTGAAATGTGAGAATGCACATATATGTTATGATATGGGGAAAGTTCATGATTTCCTATATTTTTTGCATGCACATATCAGCATTTCAAATTCTTTGGATGTAGCATTTTACGCTGCTATTTTCCACATACCATGTGTAAGGTCAAACGTCTTATATCAATTATTTTAAAACATTATATATATAATATGATGTATGCTCATCTGAATAAAGCTATAGAGACTTTACTTACTGATTGATTATTCATTGTAGATCCTATTTTGTAGGTAAGGATATTGGTACCCCACCCAAGTAATTGAGCAGAGAAGAAAGTATGTGTAAGCTCATACCAACGCAGATATTGACGATGACCTATGGGCATTTTATGTATATAACTTTTAAATATGCAATGGGTATAACTTTTAAATTTTAAGATTATTTATTTTTTTACTATATTCATATCGATAGTAGTAATATAAATTAAAATATATCATCATACTTAGTTATGTATGTAGAGTATAAGTGGAACTAAAAATATAATATTACAAATAATTTGTACTATATTTTTCCGTAAAGAAGTGCACAAAAACAAAGAATTGTTCCAGAATCAGGTCAACCTTATCCAACATAGACCAGACAAGT